GTAGGGAATTTCCAAACAGGCAAAGCAGAACTCAAAAGCATAAAAATGACTTGCATTCTAAAAATGCAGGTTTCTTTTTCTTTTAAAAGTTTATTTTGATTTGTGATAGCACATAAGCACACACAAGCGGTGAAGAGGGAGAGAGAGAGAAAGAGCGAGAACAACACCCTCCACAGGGTCTCACCATGCCGCAATGCCCTCCCGACCCTCCAGCTCCTCAGGATCCTGGGTAGCATCCTCAGTTTGCTCCTGAACATCCCACCAGGCTGGACCCTGGTCTCATTTTTGTTTTGGATTCTTCACAATACTATTCTCTCTCTTCTACTGTAAAAACTAAGGGTGGGAGTGATGTAGGCGTGTCAGAGGCCTGAGGGACATGGATGGACTGAGGCGGATTGCTGCTGGCATGAGGACTTTGTAGGGTGGTGGTCTGAGGTGGACCTGGCTCTGCTTCACTTGAAAAAGTTTTAAAAACCCTAAGCCAGTCATCTGTGTCTAAACATCAGACATACTGGTCTTTGTGTCTTTCAAGCCACAGTATGAAAGCATAATCTGAAACGTAGGGCTTTTGTGTTTTTAGTTTTTTAGGGCATGTGCGCTCCCCCAAAAGAGAGAGAGACAAAGGGAAAGGGAGAAGTCACCCTCCAGGGGGAAGGCCATACTGCAGTCATTCTTCCTTCTCCTTGGGATTTGGGGCATGTATGAACACTCACCTGACGTGTTTTTCAAGCCTCCTGTGGACAACGCATCGGCCCCGTGGGACCCAATACCTTAACCTGCACTCCCCTGCTGGCCCTTAGGTAGATTATTATACTCCACTAGAAATAAGCATACAAGGATTAGACTTCTAAATGTATTGCTGGAAATTATGCACATGGTCATTTAAAAAAGGACTGTTCCAAATATAGTTTTTTAGTTATAACTGTGATTTTGCCGTGTGGGTGTTGTAGGTATGGTGTAAGTTACATTAAAATAAAGCACACTAGTCATACTGTTTGCTTTTCTTTATAACTTACCTTTCTCATGTGTGTTGCCAGCCTATATGTCAACATTCATTGGGTGAGATAGTTTTAAATTGTGCTATTTTTTTCAGAAGTATAAATTCTTTTTTTTTAATTTTTATTTATTCATAAATTTATTTTAATTTGATCAGAGAGAGAGAGAGAGAGAGGGAGGGGACCAGCAGTTAGCATAATGGCTGTGTCGCTGGACTCCCACAGTCGATCGCGGTTCGTGTCCCAGACTTGGTGGCTTAAAACTCACGCCGGGCACGTGTGCGTGCGTGCCCAAGATCCCGAGAGGAGAATGGAGGAGAAGGGATTGCGGTGTGGCCATCCCCCCTGGGGGGTGATTTCTCGCTTTCTATCTCTCTGCCTCTGTCTGTCTGGCGAGTGCACACGCCCTATAGCAAAAAAACTCTTAAAAAAAAAAAAGGAGTTAGAAAGCCAACAGGTACAGGACTCAAACCACGGTCGGCCATGTGTGAGTGTCCAGTGCCTTAACAACCATTCCACCTGTTGGTCCCCAGAAGTATAAATTCTTTTTTTTTTTTCTGGAAAAAAATACATTTTGGAAGGATCCCTTTTGATTATTTGTACTCTTGTGATGTAAACTTTTCTCAAATTCCAACATTAAAAAAAATTACTTTAAAGAATCATTAGGACATAATCTAAAAAAGAAAAATGTTTAAGAGGAAATTTAATTTTTAAAAGGATCTTGGCAGAGAATGAGAAGGCTGATATTAATTCTTCAGTATCAGAAAGGACATTTCATTTTCTTTCCAAGAACGGGCATCGATTTAATTTCATGGTTATATAGTAGCAAAATGCTTTCAGGCCAGGGAGAGTTAAAATTTAACATGAAACAGTTAAACATCAATGCATTTCTATTTTCCTTTAGTACCTCAATGGTTTTCATACACCCATGTCCGAAAAAAGTGACAAGGGCTTTTCGTTGGGGTACATTTTACTGTATTTATTAGATCCACTTGTATTGTGACTTAAGCAGAAATAAGTCACGTCCTTAGCAGGTGAACAAAACATTACGTTGGCTGCCAGTGGATTCTGGCATCAGGATGAGACCTATTGATCTCTGGCGGCACCCAGTGGTTGTCAGATGGTTGAAATGGCCCCTCCGTACTTATATGTAGTGTTGTGGGCTGTGAAGTCATGGAGTTCTTCCACCTCCAAGAACGACTCACCGCCATTGGAGTCCAGTACAGAACTGAGCAACCCAGTGTGTGCCCATTAACTTCAATTCTGCCAAAGTGCTCTTGTGTTTGTGTGCGGCATTGCTTACCAAGGTACTACTTGGCTGTATAGTGCCTCCTGTGGTGAGTTGATGTAATTGCTGCTTTGACTGTCAGGAGTGTTTGTGAACTGACAGCTGCCTATCTCAGTGTTCAAAATATCATTCTAATAAAAGACAGCCATTAAACAGATTTTTAAAAAAGAGTCCATCTTTGGGACCAGCAGTTAGCGTAATGGCTATTCGCTGGATTCCCATGTAGTTGACCACGGTTCATGTCCCGGACCCGGTGGCTTAAACTCATGCCAGGCATGTGTGTGTGCGTGCCCAAGATCCCGAGAGGAGAATGGAGGAGAAGGGATTGCAGCGTGGCCATCCTCCCTGGGGGGTGATTTCTCGCTTTCTGTCTCTCTGTCTCTGTCTGTCTGGCGAGCGCACGCGCCCTATAGCAAAAACCTCTCAAAAAAAAAAGTCCATCTTTTTAAAATTACTTTTACTTAATTTTATTTATCCGTATTAGTACTTTTCATCTTGCTACAAGGCAAGTGCACTCACCAGAGAGAGACACGCACATAGAGACAGACAGAGGAGGAGAGGGAAAGTGAGAAAGTAAGCCAGCAGGTCCAGGACTCAAACTGTGGTAGGCCACGTGAGCGTCCAGCGCCTCAACCACCATGCGACCCACTGGCCCCTTAAACAGTTTTAAAAATCCACCTGTTTATTTGGCATCCAGAAGGACTCCAACATTTATTATGTAAACAATCTTGTCAATAATATAAAAGAGTAACGTAGGGAACCAGCAGTTAGCGTAATGGCTATGTTTTTGGACTCCCACGTAGTCTACCACAGTTCGAGTCCCGGATCTGCTGGCTTAAAACTCACGCCGGGCGCATGT